TTTTCCGTTATTGGAAGGCAAGTGAATATAAATGAAATTGTTTTGTTAATAAATGATAATGGGCTTGTTTTAGTAACCATCTCCCAACCTCCAGTGCCACTGAATCAATTCCATCTCATAGAAACCCTGTATAGGGTTTCTGAAGCTTTATGTCTTTATAGGAGCAGAAAGCCTCATCTTTTTCCCTTAGAAAGGTTGGTGGGTTTGAACTGGCCTTGTGATTAGCAGTCTAGTGCTCATCCTACAGCACCACCAGGACTGGAACTTATGAATCTTTAGCAGGGTGGATTTCAAAAGATTTGATTTTTTATAAAGTGGTTGTGTAAGAGCCCTGGTGATGTAGTAGTGGGTTACGTGTTGGGCTGCCAACTGAATGTTCAGAAGTTTGAGTCCACCAGATGCACCACAGAAGAAAGATGAGGAGTTCTGCTCTTGTAAAGATTTACAACCTCGGAAATCGAATACAGGGTCACCATTAGTCAGAACTGACTCAACAACACACCACTAAGTGGTTGTGGAAATACAAGAAACCAGATGTTAAGGGCTTCCAGCTAGAAAATTGTGTTTTTCATGGTTATTGCTAAGAACTAGGCAATGAAGCTAATGTGCTTCTATTTGGAAGGAAGATTTGGGGAAAGATTTGAACATAATTAAACAGAGACGTGATTGATCAAGGAGCCCTGGTAGCATAATGGGTTATGAGTTGCATTGCTAACTGCACAGTCAGCTGTTCAAATCTACCAGTTGCTTCATGGGATAAAGATGAGGCTTTCTGCTCCTGGTAAAATTTACAGCCTCAGAAACCTACACAGGGTTGCTATGAGTCAGAACTGACTCAAGGGTACACCATCACCAATGTTTGACAGTGAGTAATTGATTATAGTCTAGGAATGAATCTAACCACTATAGAAATCTCAGTTCAGTATTATTTAAGTGTCCCTACTTGAATTTGAAAGAAAGAGAATTATTATTAATAAAACCTACATGAATAGGAATTTCCTGCATTTTCACTGCTCTCTTTCAGGACTAGCAGCCATTTAGGCAAACTATGTATACAGCAGTTTATCCCAAATCAAAGATAGGCCTAAATAATAACAATAATATGATAAACTATGGCACCACATAAAGAGCCCTAGTGGCACAGTAGGGTAGTGGTGTGGCGTAGTAGGATCATCACTGAAGGGTTGACCGCAAAGTCAGTGATTCAAATCCACTAGTCTATCTTCAGAAAAGCTATACAGGGTCACTATAAGTTGGAACAGACCTGACAGCTCATCACAGTAACATAGTTGCAGTGGTTAAGAACTCAGCTGCTAACAGAAGGATTGTCAGTTTGAACCCACTAGCTGCTCCCTGAGCAAAAAGATAGCAGCCTGCTTCCCTAAAAATTACAGACTTGGAAAGCCTATGGGGCAGTTCTACTATGTTCAATAGGGTTTCTATGAGCTGGAATCAACTCTATGGCAATAAGTTATAGAACTGTATATATAAATACTTCAGTGAAAATGAACGTAATTATCAAGTTATTGTTTTTTAAAGACAATCTTCTACACATAGTGCAGCAAACAGCTAGCTTGCTATATTTATTATTTTTATAATTACTGAGTAAGAAAAATTTAAAAGAATATTAATTGGCTTTTTGATCACAGTTTAAGCAAGTTCATGCTTTATGTTAAAACTAATGAATAATTCATCAGTAACTTAACATTAATAAAATATTCTTTGCTAAAAACGTGCCTTGCTAATTTAGAACATTTAAAACACTGCAAATAGGAAATATAACATAAAAGATGGGAAGAACACGCATATCGACGTCCACTGAAAATTTTCTCAGCTAGAAACCAAAAAACAAAACCAAATCACAGATAAAGAAATACCTCTCCTTTTTTTTTTCTTCAAAAAAAAAAAAAAAGGCAATTTGAAAACATATTTGTTCCCTATCTGTATAGACAGGTAACTTAGGTCCTTGGATGCACACATTTTCTCTTGACGACTAACCTAAAGGATGGCAGCTCATGCCCACCCACAGGTATTAAGAAAAAAAGCCTTAGCAATCAGCTCCCTGAAACATCACAGCCACAAAAATCCCATACAACAGTTTTACTCTGTACTATATTGACTTGAAAGCAATGGATTTGGTTTTGGGCATGATAAAGACAGGTAATCGAATCTATCCAAGTATGACATAATACAAACACCTCTGAACGTAGAGATCTGCCATCTCTGGGCTCAAAGAACACACTCTTCCATGTCTTTCAAGATGCTAAAGAATTATGTAGATTGTAAATCACCATGCAAATATTAGACATTTATCTGGACCAGTTAGAATACTTCTCCTAATCCTTCACTTGTTCAAAAACATTGAATTATTAAGTTACAGCAAATGCACATCTCATTTATTCAACTAACATTTATTGAGATCTAGTGGTGTAGCACTATAGGATCAGCACTGGACTGCTAACTACAAGATCAGCAGTTCAAACCCCCCAAGACAGGGTTGCTATGAGTAGGAACTGACTGGATCGCACTTAGCAACAACAGTCATGTTCAAGACTTCATGTTAGATATTATGAATAAAATAGGTGCTTGACTTCCATAAATTTCTATCTCAGGAGAAAAGCAAATAATTCTTTCCAAATATAGGTAAGACAGTAATTACCGTAAGCAAGTTTCAGATAAAGAACTACGGAAATTCAGAAGAAGTTATAATTACTTTAGAATGTAGTGACTGGAGAAAGCATTATTAGAAGCTGGCATTTATACTTTATCCTGAAGAATGGGTGAAATTTTATTTGCAAAAAGAAAGTCAAAGATGTCTGAAAGGTAGGAAACTTCAAAAGGAAAGACATGAATATGAGCCAGCCACTTGAGCAATTCCCTGTAACTACATACAGCAAAAGGTGTTGAAATCATAACGCATAAATTAGCAAAACCCTCTCTGTTTCAACATGAAAAATGTAAAGTTAATTTATTTTAATCAGTCAGTGCAAAGGCATTCTTCTACATGAAATTGCATGTGTTTGAAATTAGGGAACATAAATGAATTATAATAGAATACAAAAATGGATAAAATTCTGAGCAGAAGTTTTAAAAAAGTTTACTGTTGTAGCAAATTCCCACAAAACGTTTTCTTTGGGCCAAAAATATCCATTGTTTTATAAATGCTTACTAAGTGCCAGGAGCTGTACTAAATCCTTTTGCATGTATTCATTTTCCCTTTTAGCCCTTATAATAGATGAAATAGATATTGTCTCCATGTTAGAGAGAAAAAAGTCAACGTGGAAAGTAGCTAACTTGCTAGTAAGAGCAAAAGATAGGGACATGTATGCCCTAGAATGTGGTCTCCTAACAACTGCACAGTATCAAATGTCAAGGTAGTACACTTAGTTTTCAAGGAGTTATAAAAATCTTCTCTGCTTTACAGAACCAAAAATAAAAAACATAAATTATAAAGAAATCATTCGATTTTGCCTTTTCATTTTAAATTCAAATGTCACCCAATATATGAGGGGGATTCAAAAATGTCGTGGAAAAACAGAAAGATGGTGGAATTTTTTTTCCATGAACATTTTGAAGCCCCCTTCTAAATTCTCTTCTTTTTAGGCAGCACAAATATCAGTTTTCACCAAAACCAAATTTACTGGCTGAATGGTTTCCCTATGTGGTACATATAGTTAAGGGCCTACTAGTCAAAAGGTTGGAGGTACCTTGGAAATAAGGCCCACTGATCTGCTTGGGAAATATCATAGTCTTGAAATACCTATAAGCACAGTCTTACTCTGACACATGGGGTCTCCTTGAGTTGAAATGGACCCCACAGCGACAAACAACAATAAAACCTGTAATAAGCACACTGTAAAATTTCAAACATGCATGTAAATCTGGATAATCAATAATACCAAATAATTGATGACTTTGAATTATGGGGTTGATGAAGAATATGTAATATACTGTGGACTGCTAGAAGAATGTACAAATCTATATTCGAAAAAGTACACATGAAAGCTCCTTAAAATCAAGGATGGTAAGACCTCATTTATGCATTTATCAGGAGACACCAGTCCATGAAGAATGACGTCATGCTTGGTAGCGAAAGGGTCAGGAAAAGGAGACAACCTTCAAGGAGATGGAATGACACAGCGAGTACAACAACGGACTCAAACATAACTATTGTAAGGATGGCCCTGGAACAACAGTAGTTTGCTTTGTTATATATAGGGTCGCTATGAGTTGGAACCCACTAGACGGCATCTAACAGTTTTAACAGTCTCAAAAGCTGGAGATCAAAGTGCTCTACCATTTTGTAAACAGATTGCTTCGAATCTTCTACCTAAAAATAACTTTATAATTCCGCATTACTCTTGGCAGAGGCATTTCTCATACACACTTGCCAGAAGTTTTAAGGCTATGTTAGTTACGTTTTACATGATTTACTGAGGTCCAGAGGATGACTTTACACACGAACATGGGTGTTACCTAACCATCAATAAACTACTATGTTACAGTTCTAATTTAACTCAACAGTACAAAAGTTAAGGTGCAAATTATATTCAACGACCTGGGGCTATGACCTGAGACCCTCCAGCTGAGACCAGGAGAGAGGGAGATGGGCGGTGTTCCTCGAGGATAGAAATATGCTAAAGCCCTAGGAATGTATTTTCACAATACAAAAACTACTGCCTCACCAAAAATCTCAGGATCGAGTTCAGAAACCTCAGGGGCCACTACCTTGGATTCCTATGAGGCTTACCGCCCCCACTTCCGCTTCCGGGGAGGTGGCTCCTGGCCCTCCCGGGTGTGTGGGCGGGAGTTAAAAATGAGCAGGAAGTAGCCCTGGCGCTTCCGGTACGGGAAACTCGTCGCTGCCACTCCTCGCTGCCGCGCCGCCTGGGTTGACAGGCGCTGGGTCCCTGCATGTACATCTCTTTCTCTTTTATGCTTTCTGTTAATCTCTCTTTCTCTGTCTCTCCTTTCGCCTTCCTCCCATCTAACCTCGGAGCTCGTTTGTCACTGCCGTAGCCGCAACTCCTGACTACTGAGTCGCCCCTTCCCCATGGTCCTGGGCAGGAGTCCTGACAGCGAAGACTCGCTCGCTAGTACCCCATCATGTCCGAACTGACTAAAGAGCTGATGGAGCTGGTGTGGGGCACCAAGAGCAGCCCTGGTCTCTCCGACACCATCTTCTGCCGCTGGACTCAAGGTACCCTGCCTGGGTTCCCACTTAGTCGCCACTTACTTGATTCTGCAAGAGTCTGGCTATGTGGATTCTCTCCCCAGCCCCTTTACTTGGCCCTCACTGTCCGGATCCCAAACTGGGCTTTCCAGTAACGCTCTGCCCGCCTTCGGGCGGAGAGGTTGACTAAGAGAATGGTTACAGCTGTCCACTAAAGACCAGAGTTGTCTTTGCCTCTCTGGGTTGCTCTACGGCTGGGTAGAAGGAAAAGGCTTGTTGGGCTGCAGTGCGGGATACTGGAGAGGCGCCTGGTGCCCAGTGTCAGTTTCTCAAAAAGTACGGTGACGGTCTGGGTCTGTACCCCCTAGCAAGGCTTTAACTTGTTGGATTTTGTTAATGTTTTTTGAGAGTGAGAAGTTCCAGCAAAGTCGAGGTGACAAATTCCAGAGAGTAACTTTGTTGTTTGTATTTTAATTATGTGATTAGGCGTGGTACTCACATTGTTGCTTGCTTCAAAGCATTCTCTTGGCTGTAAGTATCCCTGATTTTGAGATGCTGTAGTATCTATTGCAGTTTAAAAGGCATTTAGATCACGGCACTTCCTGTGCTGGTGTAATGCTACCCAGACAGGATTTCGAGTTATGTAAGACGTCTTATAATCAGATAATAATGCAATAAAAATGACCATCTATTCCATTCTTGCGTTGTGCTAGTCTGTGCTGGGCGCTTTATACTAGTAATTATCTCTAATTCATAAGTTTTGCTATTAAAACGCAAGGGGTACATTACTTATGGTGACTTAAAGAAAGATGATGATGAGGTTAGGTTAAGCTAAGGGAGTCAGAAGCATTCGTAATTTATGTGGTATGTAAAGCACTTGAGTAAATAATAGCTATTCCATATTGTTGTTGTTAAGTGCTGTCGCTTCGGTTCCGACCTATAGCGACCCTTTTATAGGGTTTCCGAGGAGCAGCTGGTGAGCTTGAACTGACGACCTTGCAGTTCAAACAGCTTTGCAGTCTGGCGCATTAACCTACAGCGCCACAGCAGGATTCCAGCTATTCAGTATAGTTGTCATTAAAACATTTATTTAAAGAATCCCTTGTTTTGGAAAATTGGGCTTTGCAAATCTTGGCAAAATGAGAACTGTGGTGCATTACCTTACCGTTGAGTTGTTAATTCCATCACCCTACATTGAGTTGTTTAGTCCATCACTCTTGCTTTACAGATAAGAAAAATGAGTTGTGAATGTTAAGTGATTAGGCCAAACTTGCACAAACTGAAACTGGGTGTGGTTTCCAACTCCTGTTATGGCTCCCTAGTCATATATATTTTTCCCCCTTTGAGGTTTCTAAACCCCAAATGGACTTAGTTTTGTTTTTTTGTTTGTTACACATTTATTAGTTAACAAATATTTCCCGGAATCTTGGGCACCTGCATTTACAGATTTTATTTTAACATATATTTTATACTTTGGATTATTTATCTAAATATTAACAGTTTTATACTCACTGCCATTGAGTTAATTCCAACTCATAGAGATACAATAAAACAATGTAAAATCACCCCATATGGTTTTCAAGACTGTAAATCTTTAAGAAAAAGATTGCCACATATTTCAACCAAGGAGTGGGTTTTGATTCGAACCATCAACTGTTTTGCTAGCAACTGAGCACTTTAACCACTGTGGCACCATGTTGTTGTGGTGGTAAGGTGCTGTCCAGTTGGCTCCAACTCATAGCGACCTCATACATAACAGAACGGAACACTACCCTGTCTTGTTCCATTCTTACAACTGTTGTTACACTTGAGCCCACGGCTGTTGCCGCTCTGCCAATCCATCTCATTATCGATCTTCCTCTTTTTTCGCTGACACTTCACTTTACCAAGCATAATGTTCTTGTCTAGTGCTTGGTCACTCCCAGTAATGTGTGTGAAGTATGGAAGACGAAGTCTCGTCATCCTGACTCTCTAAGGAACATTCTGTCTGTGCGTTTTCCAACACAAGTTTGTTTTTTTTCTTTTATCATCCTATGGTACTTTGAATATTCATCCTCAACACTGTAACTCAAATGTATCAATTATTTTATAGTCTTCGCTCATCCTTTACATGAATGTGAGTCTATTGAAAATACTGTGGTTTGGGTTAGGCTCACCTTAGTCCTCAAACTGACATCTTTGCATTTAAACACTTTAAAAAGATTTTCTGCAGCAAATTTGCCTAATGCAACACGTAATTTGATTTCATGACCTTATCAACATTTATTAAGCATTTTGCTATGTAGACTAAGGTAATGTTTTGTATTTATGTTTTGTTACAAATTTAACACGATCTCAGGGAGGCAATTCTGATAATGGTTTAGACATAGGCTTGGGAATAGATAGACCAGTTCTAGGTTCAAGTTACTTCTTTGAGTCTCAGTTCCATTTTATATAAATTGCAGATAACGGGGTGTGCTTTATTGACTATGCAAAGGCTTTCGACTATGCGGATAATGACGTGCTGTAGACAATGTTGTGGAGAATGAGTATTCCGGAAAACTTAATTGTGCTCATGAGGAACCCGTACATAGACCAAGAGGCAGTTGTTTGAATAGAACAAGGGGACACTGGTTTAAAATCAGGAGAGTTGTGCACCAGGGTTGTATTCTTTCACCATAGTTATTCATTCTGTATGCTGAGCAAATAATCTGAGAAACTGGGTTATGTGAAGAAGAACATGGCGTTAGGATTGCAGGAAGACTCATTAACAACCTGCAATATGCAGATGGTACAACCTTCCTTGCTTGCTGAAAATGAAGAGGGCTTAAAATACTTGTTGATTAAGATCAAAGAATACAGCCGTCAGTATGGATTTTACCTCTGTAAAGAAAACAAAAATCCTTACCACTGGGCAATAAATAACATAAAAATAAATGGAGGAAAGGTTAAAGTGTCAAACACTTCATTTTGCTCAGATTAATCATCAACGCTCATGGAAGAAGCAATCAAATATAAGTACATATTGCATTGAGCAGATCTGCTGCATAAAACCTCTTTAAAGTGTTCAAGAACAAAGGTATCAGGTTGAGGACTAAAGTGTGCCTGATCCAAGCCATGGTATTTTCAGTAAACTCATATGCATGTCACATTTGGACAGTGAATAAGAAAGACTGTAGAAGAATTGATGCATTTGAGTTATTGTGTTGGAGAAGTACTATGGACTGCTAGAAGAACAGACAAATCTGTGTTGGAAGAAGTACAACCAGAATGCTCCTTGGAAGCCAGGATGGCCAGACTTTGTCTCTCATACTTCAGGCATATTGTCAGGTGAGACCAGTCTCTGGCAAAGAATATCATGGTTGGTAAAGTGGAGGGTCAGCGAAAGAGAAGACCCCCAGTGAGATGAATTGGCCCAGTGACAGCAGCAGTGGGCTCAAGCCTAATGATTGAGAGGATGGTGTAGCAGCAGGTTCTGCTTCCTCCTGTTGTACATAGGGTCGCTATGAGACAGAACCGACTCAACGGCACCTAACAACAACATTGTTCCATTAATTTAAAAAAATGCTTGTTTGTAGACTAAGCCAAAATCATTTTCATGCCTTTCCCTGATAATTACAAGATATTACTGTAATTCTCAAGTTATTATTTACAAAAAAAATGTATTATTTTATAATGACATTTAGAATGCTCTGCCACCTTTTAGTCATGCAGAATATCCTTACAAGATTAATTCAGTTAATACCATTTGAAAACCAACGTTTTATTTCGTTTATTCCTGTTCCAAGAGTACAGTTATATTTTGGATCTGTAATTTTTCAATATTCCATTTATAAAAATTTCAAGGCAACAAAATATATATTGAGTTGTTGTTGGTTTTAAGTGCCGTGGAGTTGGTTTCCACCCCTGGTGAGCCTGTATAGGGTTTCCGAGGAGCAACTGGTGAGTTTGAACCGCTGACCGTGCAGTTCAAACCGACCTTGTGGTCAAGTGCTTATCCTACAGTGTCCCACTAGGAAGGTTATTATTATTGATTTGGCATGTTAACTATTGTAGGACTTATTGTCAGAAGCAGAAAATATTGCTAATGATTGCTGTGGCAGCTATTTGGGATTGTGGAAATAGACACAAAACACTGATTAGCTGCACTTACATTACTGCATTAATAATGTGACATCAAACTGGCAGTATTTCAGAGTCCTAATAGCTTTGAATTGACTGCTGCAATCTCCTGGAAGAAAGTCACAGGTGTAAGAAGTCTGGGGTAAATATTTATAAAATTCTATTTTAGAGATACTCTTTCATATTTGAAGCTATATTGATTAGCCAAGTTCTGTATATTTTGAAGTGGTTGTTAAAACAACAAACTACAGTAGTGGTATATAGTTTGTTTTTTAAAAATCCAGTGAACATTTCTAGATAGCATTCTTCTGCAAATTCTTTCCTTTTTCCTAAAAAAAAAAAAAAAAAGTACTTTTGACAGTTTTTTATTAAATTTTTTAAAGGCATTTAGCAAATTAAATGTGTGGAGTTGTTTGTTTAATTTGGATATTATTCTCTACTCCTCTGTGTATCATTCCTGCTCAAGTGCCAATAATAAATTTTAACAAAAGCACATCTTTTCACTTGCTTAGTCCATTAGCATGACTTATACTCCCTCCCTTCTTTCCACAAACTAGAATTGTTTTCCAGCTCCTGGCAGTTTATACTCAGGGGAAGAAAAGATAAAAATAATATAGACCTCAATTAAGTGTATCCAAGGGGGCTTCAAAAAGTTTATGAAAAACTAATGAAAAGATAATGAATTTTCTGAAGCCCCTTCATACGGTAACTGGGTAGTGTTGCTCCAGGAGAGGGTTGGCCTGGGTAGGCCTTAATTTTAAGATGAGAAGAGTTGAGCAAGCATGTGAAGTAACTAAATTAGTTATGAAGTTATTTGGGAAAAGAGTATTCCAGGCAGTTATTCAAGGAACCACGACAGTCCAGTTCAAAGAACAGCAAGGAGGTTTGTATGACTAGAGAAGTGAGGAAATGGGAGAATAATAGAG